CCCCCCCCCAACTCCCTTCCCCTCTGTCGGTCCCCCTGGAACGATTTGGCAGTGGGAACGACCAACCACCGCCGTGCCGACATCTTTCCGACGCTTCCAAGGCATGTCCACCAGTGGCGGAGCCATTCCGGACATGCACGGCGCCGTCAGGGACCTACCGCCGGGCTGGGAGGTCAGGTGAGTCGAGCCACTAAGAACCGGCGTAAATTTTCAGTTTGACCGGAATCACGGACCGCAACAACCTTTGGAAATATCGCCACAGGTCAAGTGAGTCAAGCCACTAAATAGTGTAGAATGATACAGTCGTGGCTCCCATATCAGAGGGGCACCGTACAGGAGGAGGCAGAGGGTCGAAATCGGTTGTGACGGGCTCGACCCGCCACAGTAATAGTTGGGTGACCCATGAGAGGGGCTCCGTTATGTAGGAGGGTCAGTGGCCTTTGTCCACTCCCTATCATACCGGAGGCACGAGTATATCCGGAATCACGGACCGCAACAACATGTTGGCATCGCAACGCGCATGCGGACATGGCCACGGCGCGACGAAAGTCTCTAGTTTTGGTTGTTGTTGCTGCTTGGACGGCCGTGTGAACATGTGGCCCTTTCATCGCCCTTCTTCTCGCGTGGTCGCAACCTTTTTGCATCGCCACGCATGCCCTCGACGAAGGTCTCAATGTTGTTGTTGCCGCTCAGACTGCGGTGTGAAAGTGTGAACGTTTGTTTACCGCCGTGTTTTGTCGGAGTACATGTTGTCTTCAGAAGCACCTCGAAAGTGCGGCTGCGCGCGCGCGAAAGTGGTTGGGCTGGTGGTGTTGCCTTTTCAATCCCCGGTCTTTTTTGACGATTGTTTGTACAATCCGTATTGGTGCAGCGTTTTCAACTGCATCTCCCTTTTCTTGTCCGACTCGCTGGTGTGTGATTGTGTCAAGTGCTTGAACCACCGAGCGCCCATCGCGATTTCCTGACGACTTGGGTCTTGTGCCGTCAAAGTCGCTCTGAGTCACGCGCTTCAACGTTCGCCCTTGCCACCGTGAAAACTCACCTCCCTGTGCGTTTCGGAATCTCCCCCGATGTCGATCAAGGCGATCACTTATAACAGCCTCCGTACGTTCCTACATACATCGATGCGTGGAGTATGAGTGTGCCTTAGTCGTGACGATTCATTCATTCCACGCTCGAGCCTCAGATTCTCCGATGACCCATCGCCGGCACCGACCGCACCTTGCTAGAGGGAAGAATATTAGACAGCTGTCTCCCCTTCAGCAGCGCGGGGTTCCCATACAACCAATATTCGGAAAAAGCACACGCACCTTTCCACGGCGGTGCCTCGCTCCCTGCTGCTGCTGCTGTCTCCCAACTCCCAATGGGTTATCATTTGGATTCCTCTTTTTTGGGGGGGGTTCCCCTTTTTCTTTTTTTTGGTTGTGAACAGGTACTCCCCGGACGGCCGGCCCTACTACGTCGACCACAACCACCAACTCACGACGTGGGAGCACCCGATCCCCTCGGGGAGACCGGGGGTGCAGCATGGGTCAGCGGCCGCGGCGGGGGGAGCAAGTCCGATCGATCAAACAGAAGGAGGCACCACGGTATGTGGCCTGTGGGGTGACGACTGAAACGTACAGATTGGGAGCTGGGAAGGGGAGTCACCCTTCTCGGAGTGAAAGCGTCGGGTCGTTCGGACCCCCACGACTAAATAACTTGTTTCGAAGCCGAAATCAAACGAGTTTCATTTTTGTCTCGTCACGACCTCGCCGTTGTTCTCTCGCGCACGAGATGTGGGCCAACGATGCTTGTCTGCATTGAGTTTTGGTTGCGGACTGTGTGACAGTTTTACCTCCCCTCCCCCGGTGTTTGCCATCGGGGTTGGGTTTTCGTCGCTTGGCAACGACGTTGTAAAACAAGCCAATTCACTTCGTGAACTCGGCAACCAGGTTTTCGTTTTTTTTTTTTTTACCTCCGGTTTTTTTATTGGCGGTAACCATAATGGTGGTCGAGTGGATCATGTTGTGCGAGGAGGAGAAG